GCTCTGAGCTAGACCGTTTTGGGGGTATGAAGTGACTATTCCATCGTGAGCTGAAAATGCCTGTTGATTTTTACCTTGTGTCGATGGGATGCTTTTTAACATGTTACTTAAGAAGTTTGTGAACCAGTTCATCCTAAGTAAGCTAACTTGTTCGTTAGTATCTGCTTCGATCCATTTGTGGCTTCAAAAGGCATACAAGAAAATAGCCTTGAACTTGTAATCTAGTTGCAGAAGTGAGGCATATGCACACACAATATAACAGTACATGCCTACATGCATGCACACACACCCACACTCATTGTAAAATGTGCATTCCCAGTACGTGAAGGAGGCAAGGGTTGCTATAAGCTGTTTAATATAAGGAATTTCCAATTTTTTTTCTACCAGTATCAGATAACTTATTTCACAACACAGAAATTGCTCTGAATCCTAGATAAGGTTAATCATTTTTTTAAATTTGCTATTACATTTATAACTCTTACTTTGCTACGCTGTTTAATATCTGTGAGAATCATCTCACAGAATAGAAAGGAGATAGTTGTAGGGAGGAAAGATGTCCTGAGTATCTGCTCTTATGTCAGGTACTGTGTTGGCACTGTATTCTACAGGTTCTTTTTTCCCCACTTTTCACAATGATCCTGTGAGCTAGGTACTGGTAGGTTTTTTTAAGTTATTATCATAACTCATTCTGGATCACCTCCTGTGAGAATCAGTGAGGTTAAATACTTTTTCCTAGACTCCCCTAGCAGGCAGGTGGCGTATCTGTTTTGTCTGATACCAAAACCCACTCACTCAGTGCCTTATAGTCCTTTCACCTTTTTAGGTGGAGGACTTGAAGGCTCAGAGACTGGTTTTAATGATTCAGTTTGCTGTAGATAATGTCCCTGTCAGTCTGCAGTTCTTCACTTCCTGCAAATGCACATGTCCATTACACATTTGGCTACACCTGTCTGGAGGTCGGGAAAAGTCTGGTATGAGTGTGGATTTGAACTGGCAATGTCTGAAAAACAACAGGTGCCCAAAACTATGGAATGAATAACAAGATGCAAATTTGGAGTAATCAGCAAGTGAAATTTGCTATATGTCTTTCCTATCATGGATTGGGGGAGGGGCCTTTGGAAGTCTGGCTTCTTTCACTCACCATGATTATTTGAGATCCACCCATGTTGTTATATGTATCAATAGTGATTGTTTTTTATTGCCAAGTAGTATTCCACGATATGGCTGTACCACAGTTTGCTCATCCATTTGCATGTTGATGGACATTTGGGTTGTTTCCAGATTTGGGCTATTAGAAATAAAGCTGCTGTCAGGATTGGTGTACAACTATTTCTATGGACATATGTTTTGCTTTTTGGTAAATACCTAGGAGTGGGGTGACTGGATCATATGGTAGGTATATATTTAACTTTTGTTTTCCAAAGTGTACCATTTTATATTCCTGGAGCTGTGTATGAGAGTTTTGATTTTAAATCTGTATGTCCTTTTCCCCCCAAAGGACTGGAATGGATCTGTACATTGCTTCATACATTACAATAAAAAGATAATTGGTTGCCTCCTCACAAACTCATAACAATTCTTTTTACCATTTATAATGTATTTATTTCATATGGAAGTCACATGAAAGGCCAAACGGTGCTATCTTTTACTAGTAGGTTAAGCCACTTTGTGCATTTGTATCAGCTAAAACTGTACAGGATAAACTTAATTGGGGAAATTTAGACTCATAACTCCAGCTTCATCAACACACAACAGGAAAGCTGGGAGAGAAGGCGCTGCCTGAGCCGACATGATAGTGATTTCTGGAAGTCTGTACGGTTCAGAAAGCATCCCCAGGACTTTTGAGCTATGGCTATGTTCTCTAAGGCTCCTGGTAGGGATTACAACCCGTGGTCTGACAGAAGAGAGTGTTTCAATGTGTGGAAATACTGGGTTATATGCTTTTAGATTTTTAAACTGTTAAACTAAAAGAAGATCATACTGTAAACTGTGTGTAACTTGCTCTCCCCCCCTTAACTAACTGTATATGGTGAATGTCTTTCCATGTCAATAAATACACTTCTGCAGCAGGGTTTTGAGTCACTCAGTGTTTTTCTGTGTAACGGTGCACAGTGCCTAATCTTTCATTGCATATCCTCTGAATAAACAATATTCACAAATGTATTCTCCTCCAAAAAGAAGACTAAAGTATTCTGCCACTTGCCTTTTCGTCTTTCCAGTTATCTTTTCAATTTAGTATTTACATACTTTTTATGTAATAGCTTTCTTGAGATTAATTGACCTACATTAAACCGTACATATTTAAAGTATACAATTGGATAATTTTGACGCGTGTACACATGTGAAACCATTACCACAGTTGAGATAGTGACCATGTCAATCACCCCCAAAAGTTTCTTCATGCCCTATCACGTCCTGCCTGACAAGGGCTGGGGTTTCGAGGAGGGGCGTTGACGGGTTAAGAAATCACAAGAGTCAAAAATAGAGTTTCTGCAGGCCAGGGGTCTTGTCTCTGCCAACTGAGAGAGCAAGCCCTGATACTGGCGGGCAAATAACTTTTATTTACAAGTCTCACAAAGAAGTCAATTTCAATATCTATACCCAGTTCATTGATTCAATTAGACCGGCAGCTGCTTCACAGAAACTCATTGTGATCGAGCAGGAGTTGTGCTTTCACACATGCGTATGATCCCCAGGATGGTCTCAGCATTCCGAGACCACCGGATAAGGAAGTTTTACCGAGATTAGTCCCTCGGGTCTCAACATTCCAAGACACTTTCTTATGACTTCAAAGGATCAGTGTGCAGGAGCATTCGAGTCGGCTGCTGCAAGGTGACATCTCCCCCTGTTTGATTTTAGCAATAGGAGGAACACAGACTAGGTGGTTTCCTGATTATTTCCCCTCTGAGCTTTTCTTGTCCATGGCAGATGACTAGATAAAATAGAAACAATAAAATCTATAAGATTAGAAATGCACCCATAAGTCCTTCTCCAAGGGTATTTACCCAAGGGAAGGGGTTTAAAGTAGAAAACTCTTCCGCAGCTGTGGAAAGCGTTTCATCTCCAGGCAGGAGTGATAAGTGAGCATACGTCATCAAATCCATCTCCTGCTGTAGTTGTTGGATATTTACAGTAAAGCTAAGATTAAACACAGTAAGTAGAAATATTTCAGTTATATTTTAAAGCAGTTATTTCCTTTCTCTCTGGGAACTTTCCAGGTTTGGTGACAAAGTGAGAGACACGGGGGTCTTTAAAGCAATGCAAATAGGTGTTTTTTTAAATAGCCCACAGCAATGTGATTTAAAAGAGTAAATGAAGAATTAAGCAAATAAGCCCAATAAGTAAAATTAACTGTTACAATGCTTTGCAAAAGATAACTTACTACTGAAATTACTGCAAGTATAGAAACTAGCATGTTGGTACCATTTTTAGTTAAGCCTTTTTCATCCAAATTCTTTTCTGCCATCTGAGACAGCTTTTTCAATTGTCCCCATGTGGGAGGTTGAGCTTTCTCCGTCTTGGGAGTGCTTCCTCCAGGGGAGTGGGCCCATCCGCATGTTTTTCAGCATGGTTGTCAACAATAGACGATACATTTGGAACACTGGAGGTTCTATGTCTGCTATGTGCGCTAATTTTCTCTTCCTGGAGCCGTCGCTCATGGTAAGGTTTGACACATCTGCTAGGCACCCACAAAGGCCGTTCCTCTGGACCTGGAGAAATACAAGCAAAACCTCGTTCCCAAGTTAACAAGTTTCCTAAATACCATTGATTAGTTTGGATATCTTTCCACCAGATAGGAAATTTTTCCAAAGGTTTTGGACTAAGCATGCTGTTGAAATGCCTCTCAACTGCAGTCCATCCAAGGTGTGGTTCAGTACTTGAACCAGAAGAATTCAAAAAGTTTAAGGTAAACATAGCTTTTGCTAATTGTATCTGTGGGAGGTCTTTGCAGTCTCCCCCTTTCTGTTTTTGTCACTGTTTTTTAAGGTGCAATTAGTAAGTTCAACAATAGCTTGACCCTGTGGATTGTAAGGAATCCCAGTGGTGTGTGAAATTCCCCATATAAGCAGAATTGAGCAAATTTAGAGCTTGTATAAGCAGGGCCATTGTCTGTCTTGATAGAACAAGGTAGGCCCATAATGGAAAAACAAACAAGTAAATGACGACAGGTATGGGCGGTGGTCTCTCCTGTCATAGCATTGGCGACTAAAAAACCAGAAGCCGTATTTATAGTAACATGAACAAACGATGTCCGCCCAAATGAAGGAACATGAGTTACATCCATTTGCCAAATAGCATTGGGACTAAACCGTGAGGGTTAACTCCTTCAGGACGCTCTTGTGGAGCATTAAGAATCTGACAAGTAGGGCATGTCTGTATAATTTGAGGAGCTTGGTTGTTAGAGATAACAAACCATGAACGCAAACCACCTGCATTAGCATGTGTTAGGGAATGGAAGTTTGTTGCCTGGCAACCTGAACATTTCCTACTAACGAATCAGCAATTGAATTGCCTTGCATCAGTGGACCAGGCAGGGTAGTAAGAGCACGAATGTGCATGATAAAGAAGGGGTGCTTACGGTTTCTCACAACCTGCTGAAGTTGGTTAAACAGTAGCTGGAGACTGATTAGAATTATTAGAAAGAGATGCAGTTTCAATATTTTGCACCGTGTGTACTACATAGGTGGAATCAGAAACAATATTTAAAGGGTCAGAAAATGTTTGTAAAGCAGTGAACACTGCCACTAACTCAGCCCTTTGAGCCGATGTGCAATTTGTTTGTATAAGCTGATTACCCTTCTCACAGACAATTGCTGCTTTGCCATTATTAGATCCGTCTGTGAAGACTGTTAGACGCTGAGGAATAGGCGTCTG